ATTGCATCTTAGATTTCAAGGTAAACTATAAAAGCTGCAGTAATCAAAATAGCATGGTGCTGGCACCAACACACACACACAGATAAATGGAACAAAACAGCCCAGAAATAAACCCATATGCATATGGTCAATTATTCTACAACAAAGGAGTCAGATAACACAGTAGGGAAAAGGCAATCTCTTCGGTGCCAATAAACGGTGCTGGGGAAATTGAACCATTACGCATAAAAGAATACTTGCTTATACCACACACAAAAAAATAAACTCAAAATGGAACAATGACTTGAATGTGAGACCTGGGGGAAAACATAGGTAGTCATCTCTCTGACATTGGCCTTAGTAACATTTTGCTAGATGAGGTCTCTTCAGGCAAGGGAAACAAAAGCAAAAACTCTTGGGACCACACCAAAATAAAAAGCTTTTTGCATTGCAAAGGGAACAATCAACAAAATGAAAAGGGAACACATGAATGAGAGAAGATATTTGCAAATGATATATCTGATAAGGTGTTATAATATAAAGAACTTAGATAAGCCAACACCAGAAGAACAAATAATTTGATTAAAAAATGGGCAGAGGATATACATTTTTCCAAGAAGATATACAGATGACAATTAGACACATCAAAAGATGCTCAGCACATCACTAATTATGGGGGACATGCAAATGAAAACAATGATCTATTATCTGTTACTATTAGAATGGCTGATATTAAAAAGACAAGAAATAACAAGTCTTGGCGAGAATGTGAAGAAAAAGAAACCCTTAGGCACTGTTGGTGGAAATGTAAATTGGTGCAACCACTGTGGAAAACAGTATGGTGGTTCCTCAAAAAATTTAAAATACAAATTACATATGATCCAGTAATTCCAATACTGAATATTTATCCAAAGAAAACAAAAACACTAACTTAAAAAGATACATGCATCCCTATGTTTACTGCAGCATTATTTCCAATAGTCAGGATGTGGAAATAACTTAAGTGTCCATTGACAGATGAATGGATAAAGAAGATGTGGTGTGTGTATATATATTAAGAAATATGACTCAGCCATAAAAAAGTGAGATCTAACCATTTGTGGCAACATGATGGATCTAGAGGGTGACCTAAGTGCTAAGTGACATAAGTCAGAGAAAGACAAATACCATATGATTTCACTTACATGTGGCATCTAAAGAACAAAACATAAACCTCAAAAAAATTGAAATAGCCCCATCAATTCAGAGAATTTACTGGTGGTTGCCAGAGGTGACAAGGGTAGGCTGGATGAGCAGATGAAGCAGAGTGCGAGGTACATTGGCTTCCAGTTATGGAATGAATAAGTCAAGGTGATCAAAGGTACAGCACAGGGAATATAATCAATGGTATTGTAATAGTGTTGCACGGTGACAGATGGCAGCTACACTTTTAAGGAACACAGTAAAATGTATAGAGTTGTGGAATAGCTGTGCTATACATCTGAACCTAATGTAACAGTGTGTGTCAGCTATATGAAAAAGATCTAATAAATAAATAAATGAAATGGACATCTGTTGATGAAGTCTTTGCCATAATGCGGAATAATGGAGGATTGACATTTTCTCCCTGGTGTTCCCAAGTGATTTATCTTAAGTAGTCACCTGAAGAGTTAAGTACAGTAAGCTTGGTTGTAGAGTCATAAAACAAGGCCACTTTTACTCTAGAACTGAAAATTGCTCTTGGTATGCAGAAGGCTATTACTCCCATTTTGACTTTTTTGTTTTTTTAATCATACAGATGCCCATTATTGTCCCTCAAAGCATGTTGTATTAGGGAAACAGAATTCTGTGATGAAAAAGAAAGCCTGGCAGATTTTGACAACAAAAGACACAGGTCAGAGAAAGATATCCGCAGGTAGATGGCTATTCTCACGTTCTCTGCAGTCTTTCTAGGAATGAAGAGGTGCCTACAGAAAACTCTTTCAAGAGATCTTTCTGAAATAAAGTGTTTCTTTTAAATAAACGGAGGTAATTTTAACTTTTTCCCTTTGATGGGGTGTGTTTTAATGATACGAATTACAGAATTAGATAAAATTACTGAGGAAAGCCCTGGGACTATGTTGGCAAAGAGAACAAAGATGACAGAACAGACTTCAATTGACCATAACGAAATAGGCAACTGGTGGAATGCTTACTGGTTTCATTTCTGAGCTTGAAAAAAGTAACTACCCCAAGCAAAAGAACATGATTTAGAGAGATGAAAGACACCTCTACAGGGAGAAAGAAAGAATGTTCTATTAGATTTTTGAAAAGACTTAGGAAACTGAGAGAGACAAGCTAAAATGGTTAAAATTGATTTAGAAAAACTGTAAAATGTTCTGATCTTTGCAAAAGATTTTAGTGCTCAAACTTGCAGAACTTGACTGGTTCACTATTTTATTCAATAATCTAATATGCTCACAAACTAGAATACCAGTATTTTTAAAATTTTAATCATGACTGCAAACTTAGAAAAGAAACCACTTGAATAGTGCTATCTGCCTCCTGAAAGGAAAAATGCAAATACTGAAGCTAAGAATACTCATTCACAGTCAAAAAATTCAAAGGATGTTCTTCATAGGCAGCTGCCTAATTCTTTTTGGCACAGGTGTGTTTGTTCTGAATAAAAAGAATAACATATCTAAACACTAGAAATCGTTTTAATGGTTCTGCAGAGAGAGCAAATGCATTTAGCTGCATTACTATTCTCAATTCTAACATTAAGCCAAGAATTCCTTTACTTCTTCCATGTTATATTCACCCATGAAGAACATCGAAGAAACCCCCCCTCTGAAAGATTTAGGAAGCAACTTTGCCTGTGCTTGCCTGTGGATGCACAGGCAAACCATCACTTTTGTAAGCACCCTTCTGCCTACCACAAGCTAGAAAGCCACATTTTGGCAACCTTGTCCTGAAACTAAACTTTTTGGTGACTACTAGACGGAGGACGAGAAGCCAAGGGGTCAGATGCACATCTTTGGCCCTGGGCCTCAGGGGCATGAGATGCTGCTCTTCACTTTTACGCTGATGAAATGTGCACATCTATCCTGCTAGCCACTAGGAAGTCCTGTTTAGGAATGGCATGGGGGATTCCAGAGGCTTTTCCGAGGAAGACGACTTGAGTCTGGATTCCCATCAAACATTCTCCTTAACTCTCTGGGGTTGAGTTTGGGGTATTCTAATTTAATCTGGGAAAATTTTCGTTTTAAGAAAACAGCCCAAAGGGCTGAGAGATGTACCTAATGATCATGGTGGTTGCCCACTGGTGAAGTTGGAATGTCAGACCTAGTGGTTATAGGGCAAAGGCAGCTTTGCATCAACCTCTACTGGATCTGAAGTGTATGTGAGTTTCTATCTGCACCAATCCCATGTGGGGAGCATGTAATCCAGGGCACAATATCAATGGGTATGAATTAAATAATCTATTATTTACAAAATTGGGGTCCATTTCTATGTTTTAGTAGAATTCAGAGGCACCGAAGGTGAATTAAGTCATCTTTAGGCTCTATAAGAAGGTTGGCCATCTGTCATGCTTAATGCTGCATATATGATCTGGTGACTTTGGGGGTCACTTCTGGTGTATACTGGAATACTCCAGAAGAGCTGATTTGTTGCATCTCTCATGGAAATATACAGTGATTTCTATGAGTCAGTGTGTGGGGAAAGGAAGGGAAAATAATTCTACTGGTTAACCTCAAAAATTATTTAATGCTCTTCATTTTAAAAAATCTTTAGAGAGTATGACTGTGTGTCTGTGCCAAGATTTAGGGAGTGTGTTAAAAAAAAGTCGAAAACAAAGTCTCAAACTAAGCAAAATAAAAATCCCTACCTCTTGAGCTCACCTTTTACTGCTGAAACAGATGCATCCAAAATTAATAACAATGCTATCATTTGTTGCACATTTTATATGCATCAGGTTCTGTTTTATGGGTTTTACATCTTAACTAAATCTAATCCCAGTGAGCTAGATGCTGTTATAACTGCCATTTGTGGAGAAGGAAAGAGAAAGAGGAGGGATAAATACCTTGTTCCAAGTCACAGAACTGGTAAGCAGTGGAGCTATCATTCAAACCCAGGCTGTCTGCTCCAGATTCCAAGAATCCAACTTCTCCAATTAAAGTGTGAGTGAGTACTATGAGTACTACTCTAACTAAGTGTTAAGGGGAATTGAAAAGGTGGTTACAGGAACTGGATTTTGAAAAATGAGGAAGACAGTGACAGCAGGGCATTGGGGAAAAGAGCATTCCGAGCAGAGGCAATAGCTGCGAGGAAGTGCTGGGCATGGCTGAAGGTGAGGAAGATTGAACAGGTAGGCTGGCACTAGACCGTGAGTGGTCCTCCTCCCCTCCTTTTAAAATGCAGTGAAATACATTAATGGAAAGCTTTTGCTGAGGCAAATGGCACAATTACACTTGCAGGCATGTAGGAGAATAAAAAGGTGTATGACAAACTGGCAGTCAAGGGACCAGAGTTGGATCCATGCCCTTCCTTTCCGAGCATCCCAAGAGGGGTGAGGTGCTGGCCTTGTGAAAATAGAAGGCACTGTGCTCTAGGACAGCAAACAGTTTGGCAAACCAGCTCCTACCAACTGGTCGAGTCTTTCTGAAGTGAGGTTTAGAAGGTTCTTTGGCTGAATGCAGGCTCAGGTAGGTTTTAATCCCTTGGCAATGCCTGCCCTGGGGCAGAATGGGACATGCTCACGTGAGCACAGCAAACGTGTCATCTCTGTTCTGGATGACGGCTGCAGCACTAAACCTTCCTTTCCGCTTTAAAGTCTACGTTCTGTGAAGACCCACCATCCATGACCTGGGAGTCTAGATAGGGCGCTCTTCAAAAAGATCATGTTTATTTAATTCTCCTCCATCCTTTTTTCATTGCTTATGGTTCTGAACACATTTGTAGTTAGTTTCTGAGAAATGGAACTTGTTTACATGATCCAGCTATGAGCATTCTGAAGACTAAAAAATTAAATGGCATGAGATGCACCATCAAGGAACACTGACCTTTTTTGCTCCTTGTTCTTCTTCCACACCATCTCCTATAACGACGTACACCACTTTTCTTCCAAACCTTTGAATTATCCTCTCAAAACAGCTCTCTTTTCCTAATGAATACAAATAAATTACAAAAAATGTAAAGTTCAGGTAACTCAGCACTACAGCGCTTGAACTTTTATATGAAATACTTCCTTTATGCTTCTGATTCAACTCTATCCTATTTGTACAAACTGGAGAAGCGTGCTTTTAGATGCCATTTGGGTAAAATGTGGAACGGCGTAGTAAATTACAAATTGTAAATTATGTAATGGATGACTTGTCCCTTGGAAATTGTCAGCTTTAAATATTTTTTCATTTATTTGAGAGAGAGGAAGAGAGAGCACACAAAAGGAGAAGGGGCAAAGGAAGAGGGAGGCAGACTCCTGGCTGAGCGGGGAGCCGGACTCAGGGCTAGATCCCAGGACCCCGTAATCACAACCCAAGCCCAGGGCAGATGCTTAACTGACTGAGCCACCAGGAAATTGACAATTTTAGTATTCTTTTCCCAAGGGCTCGTTTATTTAAAAGTAGGATCCAGTCAATCACAGTATAGCATTTGGGAAAAATACCATTTTTACAGCAATACTTTCCTTTAAGTACTTTAAGCTGAGACTCAACAAAGGCATACGATTCTGGCAACATACTTGAACTTGATTTTTAAAAATGTTTCATGATCTACCAAACTCTGAAAATAATATCTGATCCATGAAGTCTATTCAGAAGGAAGGTAGAAAAAAAAAATACTAACTGGTTTTGTTATAGCAGGAAAAATCAAACAGTGGAATCCGTTTATTCCTTCATTTTCCAGTTGGGATTCTATTTGAATGAAAACCCCTCCCCTCTCTGCCCCAGCTCTCTGCCAAACCTGATGTGTTTACTTGAAATATTCTGGTAAAACTGTTTCTGAAATAAATGTCAGGTAATTTGGGGTACTATAGAGAGATCGCGCCTGCCCTACCCAGGCATCTAATGTCCAATAAAGCACTTTCCTAAAGGCAAAGCGGGATAAAGGTAACAGAATACCTTTATCTATCTATTATCTTTCCCATGTCAAGACTTCGTTTGGGCTCTCTGGCGGCACATCCCTGCAGTTAATGCAGTCATTGTTGCTCCTTTAGAGAAGAAACTGCTGTTCCAAGTTCCCCGCTGCCAACAGGGTCATTTTAATGGACAATGGGACAGTTTATAGTTTTCAAATGTAAATGGCTGAGCCGAGCCGCATCTCTTTCAAATAAGGATCAGATATACTCACGAACAAATTGCTTGTTTGCTTAAACAAATGTCTGCTTTATATTTGTATTTTGCACTAAAATCTCTGGTTTGCATCTGACAGAACGAAATTCGGGCCAGCCTTATTCAAAGGATGTAATTTCAATGCTTCTTTAGCTGCCCACTAAACTGTGAAATATTAAATCACTTTAAGAAACAAATACAAAGTGTAGTTTTCACTGCAAAAATATACAACCACAGACTTAGATGTCATGAAACTTTTTTTCCCTCCTTAGAGGGAAATGTTTATGTGTTTTTGCCAAGTTTCCCTTTCATGGGAAATGGAAGGTAAACTCAATGTTATTATGTTATTTAAAGGTAAAGCTGTGGTGGACCAAAAAAAAAAAAAATTCTTGCCTATATACTATCTCCTTTAGGCTTCACTATGAATTCTGGGTCACATAGATGTTTTCCATCATAATGATGGAAAAATTGAAGCTGACTATTAGAAGTTAGAGATCCTACATGAAATTTTCATTTTGATGCATCCATTTTATCTAGAAGAACATCGTAACTCTGCCCAACGAGATACTAGTCATCTCCTCAAATGACTGCTGCTTATAAGGAAATTCCTGAGTTTTCTGCATTGACTCCCAAATTATATCTCATCTGATGGCAAAATTAGGAAAACTACAGGAATTTCAAGCTCTATTTTTCTTCTTTTTGAGAGAATCTTAAGCAGGCTCCATGCCCAGCCTGGAGCCAATGTAGGGCTTGATCTCACGACCTAGAGATCATGACTGGAGTCAAAAATCAAGAGTAGCAAGTTTAACTGACTGAATCACTCAGGTGCCCCATTTACTTTTCTTATTAAAAATACCATAGAGGGACAGCCCGGGTGGCTCAGGGGTTTAGCGCTGCCTTCAGCCCAGGGCCTGATCCTGGAGATCGGGGATCAAGTCCCATGTCGGGCTCCCCCCATGGAGCCTGCTTCTCCCTTTGCCTGTATCTCTGCCTCTCTCTCTGTGTCTCTCATGAATAAAATAATAAATAAAATCTTTTAAAAAATTAAAATATAAAAATACCATAGAAAAGTGATTTTTACCTCTGGTTTGAGGTAATTTCTACCACTTTTTTCCCCCTAATTTTTTATTCTGTATTGATAAAAATTTAAGTTCAATATCACAAACAAAATGCCCATTACAGATATCTAATATATACTTGTTAGTATAATTTTGTTATCCCCTTCACTAAAATATTTTTGAAATTATTTAAAATATTTGGGATTAAGGTTCAATGTGCAAGACATGTAATACACTACTTGTTCTTTCCTTCTGGGAAGTTAAGCACTACCCTTTCCATTCTATAGCTTCTTTGGAAATTGTTCTTTCATGTGCCGATAAACGTTTACCATGGACTCCTGTCTACAAAACACATTATGATTCCTCTTTATTGTTATGGATAGCATATAGATCTTACTGCAAACTGTTATTTTTATGGACATGAGAACATATAAAAATTCTGGTTACTTGGGCTAAACCAGGAATTCTATTTGGTACATTCCTTTCTCTAAGTATCTTTTAGCATTCTGTTTTTGGTGCTTCTCAGAAAGCATCATTCTCCAACTCTAGTTATTTCCAATTTGGCAGGGCTATCTGAATATCTCACAGGTTCTTCATCTCAACACTGATAAAATCAAATTCTTATCTTTCCCATCACACCTGATTTTCCCCATTAGTCAATAGCATCATCACTGACACAAGTGTTTAAAAGGAGCCTCTGTATCAGCCTTCTTCCATTTACTCATCCATTTTATTAAACATTTTTTGAGCACCTACTATGTGTTGGGCCCCATAGCTACAATGACAAGCAGCACAGATAGACTCCATTAACAAGGATATTACAGTCTGATAGGGAAGTCAGACGAATAATTATGAAAGTAATTCTTTAGCAATAACTTAGGAAATATACAAGTATAGTTAGATGGAGAATTAGATTCCATTTTTACCCTTTTTTCTTTAGATAGAGGTGAGCAGCCAGAAACAACCTTCTTCCCACCTACTAGGATCCTCATCCCGCTTCTCCAGGACTCACTAAAATAACATCTTATTAGGGTAATAAACAAGGCCATGAATGTCTAGGCCTAAGTCTACTTTTCTAGCTTTCAGCTTTCCATGACCCATGATCACTTACAAGTCCCTTAGCAGGGAACACATTTTAATATCTGTCCATCCGCTCTCACTAGCCCATCTATTTTCTAAACCCTGAGGTATCCTTCTATATCCAGCTCAAATGCCATTTCCTCATTTTAGGCTTCATTGACACATGCCCTCTACCTCCCCCTGGCTGGGAGTGAATGTTTCCTCATTCAAGTGCACATTCAGGCACTTAGTGGTAGAACTTCCTATGGTATGGAAAGGAGTCTGAACCCTGGAAACAGACCTAGTTTGACCCTTACCTTTACCAGCTGTTAACTTGGACAATTAAGTTTCTGAGATTTAGTTTCCACATTTGTAAAATGGAAAGGCTGTGAAGATTGGTTTTAATAGGTAAAATGCTTAGTACAGTTCTGGGCATCTACTGAATATATGATAAATGCTCATTTACATACTTCTTTGTCATATTACAATTATTTAGATGTCTCCTTCTCCCATTAGATGGCAAATTCTGTAAGAACAGGAATCAAGTCTTTTTATCTCACTTTTTATTCTGTCTTAGTTCATATTCTAACCAAATTTCACATTAGTCTTCTTTCACCAACTGTGATTCCTTCTTTTGTGAACTTAAATTTTTTTTGGTATCCCGATAATGAAAATGGGAACTCAACTGTTTATGCATGTTGAATTAAAATAAAGAAAAAAAAAACCACAATAGTTTCAGTGATTATAAAGAAAGCTATTAGAATTGTTTCATTTCTACTTTGTAGATCTCTATACTAGTACTTGTTTTGGCTTATTAAATATTTTTGTTGATGTTATCTAAAGGAAAGAGATTAATCCAGAATTGATGCTCAATTGGCAATAGCTAAAGTACATAGGTCTTAATGTCAGTGAAGTAAAATTTTTTGAATTAATCAGCATGAATTATGATTTATATTTCTCTTCATGTGTAAAGCCAATTCTGACAATAAAATTAAATTCTTCTTCTAGTTTGCTGACACCTAACATTATGAAAAAAGTCTCATTTACTGCCTTTCACTTTTACTAGCCTGAGGGAAAAGAGTCAAGTATAAAATAAAGTAAAATAAAAGCAGCTCACCTATTTTTGTTGCACTGTAAATATTTTCTATCGGAAATACAATTCCTAATCCATATAGCAGGACTTTTGCCAATGCTGGGATAAGCTGAGTAGTTGTTACTAAAATATTCACACAATTCGTCCTATGAGAACAGAAAAAAAGGAAAAAAAGAAGACTGTTGAAAAATGAATCTCCAAAATGAACAAACAGGAGTAAAGGCTGTTTTCCAGCAAAAGCACCATGGAGTGACTTGGGGACAGCCTACCGGGAGTGAATGAGCGTGAGTGCTTTCAGGGCCAGTGTCAACCAGGAGTCTGTTAGGGCTTCAATCTCAGCCCTCAGCTGCAGCCAGGCTTCCCTCTTGGCTGGACCAAGCAGGCCTGTGAATTTAAAAGCACATGAATTCCTTCCTCACCAATGTGTCTATTCAACTTTATAAATAAAAAACATTTAATACTATCCTTAATATCACCCTCAAGCTTTATAGTATATAAAATAATTTTTCACATACGAGCATCCATTTGACACATGTTTATTTAGTACCATAGGAAACATCTCTTGATTTTGCATTCTTAGCATTCCCTTCTCCTGGTTATAGAAGTCATTTCTTCTTTTTAAGGAGTCTGCTCATACCATTCCTCTAATCATGGAGTTTGGATAGAGCCAACCCTCCACTCTGGCTCTCAGGGTAGGTGTATGACTATGGGTTGGCCAGTGCAAGTCAGTCTTGGAACTTTTGCTGAATCTATTGGGGAAAATATTTTTCTATCCAATCAAGGTACTAAACTCATAGAATATAAGCCTGGATCTGTTAATGGTCACATATGCCACTTATGGGAGGGGCTGACCTAGAATGACTCCTACCCAAAGGAAAGCATAGGCAAGAGATCTCAGATGTCATCTTTTGAGTATGTGGATTTAGTCAATGCTAGAAACCAACACACCCCTAAACTTTTAGTTATAAGTCAACATATTCCCTTGTATGCTAAAGCCATTTTGAAACACAGTTGAATGAGCTTTACAATCCATCTCAATTGATTTGGCCAAAGGTTATTAATCCTACACCTCCTTGGTAGGACAAATGAACATCAGAAAGGTCAAGAAACTTACTCCAGGTCACACACACTATGAAGTAATGGAGCCAGGAGCAGATTAGACTAGCCAGGGTGGCTGGCTCAAGTCTCACATTCCTATCACTAAATCATAGCAGAATAATCACTGGTTAGATGAAACCACTCTAAAAAAGCTATTAGATCCCAAAAATGTGTGATGTGAAAGTGTGTGGTACTTTGAGAATTTTAGTTAGACTATCTTAATAATCCAATAGGATATTGGTAAGAGTTACTTGCCTCCAACATTATTTTTGTAGGTATTGTAGATCTCTTTTACTCGTCTGTAGCGGAAAGCCAATTTTCTCATCCAGTCTACACCACCCCGCACACCGGTTGCCAAGCATAAATTAGCACTGGTTGCTGCAGCAGGAAAGCCATCTGTTCCAAAGTTATATGTGCTATTTAGATGCAAGAAAAACCCAAAGTTAACCAAACAGAAAGTTCATCTTAATTAGCTGAGCAATTAGACTTATAAAATGGAGTGAGTCACTTCATATTTCAACATGCTCACCTTAGGTCTTGCCCATTATCATCGGAAGACACATCATCTATATGAACTTGGTCACATTCCTAAAATGCAATTAAAGTGATACATGTTCATTTTCGATAAGTATCTTCATTTTTTTTTTTTTTTTTGGAAAAAACCACACACAGCTGCTTGATATTTTTACCTACTTCAAGTCCTCTTTGAACATAAAAAAATGAACAATACCATTAAGGACTACTGTTATTCAGCTTCAGAAAACACATTTTTGCATTTAGAAAGGAAAGTGATTGAAAACAATTAGCATATGTGTTCCATAAACCTCAGGTACCTGAAGACATCATGCTGCTCAGAGCTGATTCAGTCAATGCCTAAAGCATAACTGGAACCAGACATTTCAGTAAATGTAACATGCTAGAAAAATTAAACCTGATGCTAACTGCCAATGAAATTATGACCTCTGATTGCTGTTGAGCCACACACCAACAGAGCCTGAGGCCAGTGTGCTGAGGAGCCCAGACGAAAAAATCTGTTACTGGTTTGCCATTGATTTCAGAGATGTGAGTTTTAGTGTGTGTGTGTGTGTGTGTGTGTGTGTGTGTGTTGTAGGAGGAGGAGGAGGAAGAAAGCACAAGAGACTTCAAAACCCAAATAAAAACAATCAAACCATGTGGTGTTTTTTTTTTTTAAATGGTTCACTATTATATATTCCTTTTAAGTGTTGGATTTATGGATTTATTGTAGAATAATGTTATGTGAACAGGCCTGATTTTTAAATCCCAAACCATGTGTAAATGGTTTAGAATAGGAGGCTGTGATTTGGGGCTAAAGCTCTACTGGACTGATCTGATGTTTATGCACCTGCTTGCATATGAGCACCCCTACATCTCACTGCTATATCCCCAGCCCCTAGCATAGCTGTGTGAGAAACAGTCAGTAAACATTTGTTGAACAAATGACAGCACACTAATCTGGAGACACACGACAGGGTCTCCCACCCAGAGACAAGGCAACCACACTTGGTGTGCTTTAATATTTCTGTCGTGATCCTTTGCAGTCAGACTCCAAATACCCCAGAAGCCTTTATCATATTTTTTTTTCTTATCATACTTATTTTTGTTAAAAGTCTTAGTTTAAAAATGTTAGAAGATTTCCAGGTCCGTGTCGTGTCCTGCATTTTAAAAGGTTCTTTTGACTAAAGCACTGGTTATATTTCCTACTTAAGTTTGTAAAATCTAGCCTATCCCTGTAATGTTCAACATACAATTTGTAACAAAGATGACAGACATAAAGTGCCACAGTAATACAAGGTGTATTTTTATGTCCCCAGTTCCTTCTGAACAAATTCTTTTCTCTCCACGGATTTGTGAGGAAGGGAGCAGGAGATAGAAAAGGAAAGAAACTCAAACCAGCTGTTGCTTAACAGAATTAAAATCGTGACCCCCCAACCTCTTCTCTAAAGCATCTACTTTCCAGGCAACTGCCTCCCAGCAAGCAGCAAGTTCCAAGGAGGAAAAGACTTTGACCTTGTAACCCTCCCCTGCTCTCCCCAGGTCTATAACCTCAGATAAGAAAAGAGGAAAAAGCGAGTGAGGAGGCCGCACATGTGGACTGTGAATTCAACATTTTAAAAACAGGTCATTCCTGGAAAACATGTTTGGGGACTTCTCAGAGTTATTAACTTAATTATATTTCAGAAGATGAATGATAGTTTTCTCAACAAGGCACTCATTCCGGGTTTAAAGTGCGATCCAACCACGAGTGTAGACGTTTCTGCCATTTTTCTAGCCAGAAATACATTTTTTTTATGTTGTTGGCAAGCAACTCCTTTAGGGTGCGTGGTGAGTGTACAAAAGAGAGGAAAAAAACCAAGACAAACCAAAAAAGCGTCCCCCCCAACCAAAGAAAAAGAAACCCAAACCAGAAACACCCAAAATGCCAGAGGGCCACAATGGAAGCTTTTTCACTTTTGGGAGAAACAGGAGGTGAAAGGTGAGGAAGTACAGGAGGAAAAGCTACATTTAAAAGGGTTTATTTATTTTATTTTATTTATTTTAAGTTTTTTTTTTTTAAATAAGAGGGTTTTTCTTTTTCTTTTTTTTTTTTTTTTTACTTTTAACCTACTTACATGATTTAAAAAAAAATGTTTTATTGGAGTTCAGTTTGCCAACATTTAGTATAACACCCAGTGCTCATCCTGCCAAGTGCCCCTCTCAGTGCCCATCACCCAGTCACCCCAACCCCCCCTCCCCAGCCCACCTCCCTTTCCACTACCCCTTGTTCATTTCCCAGAGTTAGGTGTAAGAGGGTTTAATTCAAGGAATCAAACCAAAACTGACTCGAAGTTAGTTAACTCTAAGGGTGGAGAGAATTCCTTAGAAAGGCGGGGTGTTAAGAGGCTTTTCTTAAATGAATGCAGTTGTAAATCTCCATGACTGACGGAGAAGCCAGTTATCTTCCAATGACTGTTAATGACTCCATTGTCACTATTGTTCCCCCATATCCTGTATTTGTTTTCTCCCGGGGAGCTTTATCGGAGCTTTATTGTTCCCAGGGCTCAAGCCCTCATTTGAAGCCCAGTTCAGTATCTCGGTGAGCTCTAATTGAGTAGCAACAGCTTCCCGGCTCCTACTGCAAGACATCAAACTCACTTCACAGCGCTGTGATCAACTCTGGTGTGGTGGCAACAAAGAAATCTTCATTCTCTATCAGGAGAGTTTTTTTTTTTTTTTTTGGTAGAATGATTTCAACAAAAATAAATGCAAACATATCAGGAGCATTTTGTAAAGGGCCTACCTAGCGCCCCAGGAATAAAAAGAAATCATTAAAATGACCATGGAAAATATGTTTTCAGAATTGTTCATTGCACTTAACGGTAGAAAAATACTATACAGCACAAACTTCTTATCCACAAGATACATAGTAAAGATTCATTAACTGAGTCTTGGTATAAGCTTTTTTACATCGTGGTAGAAATGTCTCGGGAAAAGCTCTGTATGTCTTGACTTTGGTGAAAAACTATAATATTGTAATATCTTGATGTTTACCTATTAAAATTCTTAATTCCTAAAGGAATGGAGAATATTAAAATACAGAACTATCTTGATATGTGTGGAATGTGTAAACCTAAGTGCATCTACTCTCAAAAACTGTAGTTTCCCTGTATCCTGACATTAGAAATTTTCTCTATTGGGGTGAGACTTTCCTTCTCTCCCTTTTCTTTGGAAGCCATCTAACTTTTTTACTTGTCTTCTTAAAAGCCTAATTTTATGTTTTCATTTTTGCTTTCTGCACTTAGCTGTTTTTTAGGTTTTTTTTCTGAGATTTTATTTATTCATGAGACACACGCAGAGAGAGAGGCAGAGACACAGGCAGAGGAAGAAGCAGGCTCCCTGCAGGGAGCCGTTGTGGGAATCCATCCCGGGACCCCAGGATCACGCCCTGAGGCCCTGAGCCAAAGGCAGTCGCTCAATCGCTGAGCCACCCAGGCGTCCCTGTTTTTTAGTTTTTAAGTTTGTTTTCAACTCAGAGAATTAGATAACTGAAGGAGGGAGCAGGAGCTCTGGACCCACTGAAACAACACAGCAAAATTTAAAGTCTACTGGAAGAATCTGTAAACACAGAAAACACAGAAAAACAAGCTTCCTATATTTCTAGGTACCAAGAGATACTCCTGAAAACCTTATCTTGCTGCTTCATACAGAATGCAGAGCATATAGAATGTCATGGGAAAATGAAGTCTTTATTCCAGAATGACGGAATGTGCTGAAAATGTATTTTTTAAAAAAGAATTGAGCCTCGGTGTCCATTGAAAGATGAATGGATAAAGAAGATGTGGTTTTTGTATACAATGGAATATTACTCAGCCATTAGAAATGATAAACACCCACCATTTGCTTCGACATGGGTGGAACTGGAGGGTATTATGCTGAGTGAAATAAGTCAATTGGAGAAGGACAAACATTATATGGTCTCATTCATTTGGGGAATATAAAAAATAGTGAAAGGGAATAAAGGGGAAAGGAGAAAAAATAAGTGGGAAATATCAGAAAGGGAGAGAGAACATGAGAGACTCTTAACTCTGGGAAACGAACTAGGGGTGGTGGAAGGAGAGGTGGGAGGGGGGTGGGGGTGACTGGGTGACAGGCACTGAGGTGGGCACTGATGGGATGATCACTGGGTGTTATTCTATATGTTGGCAAATTGAACACAAATAACAAATAAATTTATAAAAAAAGAAAAAAAAAAGAATTGAGGGCAGCCCCAGTGGCGCAGCGGTTTAGTGCCGGCTTCAGCCCAGGGCGTGATCCTGGAGACCCTGGATGGAGTCTCATGTCGGGCTCCTTGCATGGAGTCTGCTTCTCTCTCTCTCTCTCTCTCTCTCTCTCTCTCTCTCTCTCTCCGTGTCCGTCATGAATAAATAAATAAAATCTTTTAAAAAATAAAAATAAAAAAATAAAGATTTGAGAGAGAGAGAAAGTGCATGCATGTGCACACAAGTGTGTGTGTGGGAGAACAGAGGGAGAGAGAGAAGCAGACTCCCTGCTGAGCAGGGAGCTGGATTGCTAGACTCCATCCCAGGAAACTGGGATCATGACCTGAGCTGAAGGCAGATGCTTAATGGACTGAGCTGCCCAGGAGTCCCTGAAAATATATTTTTGAAATAAACTGCCAAAAAGTCTGTGATAGGGTTTTAAGGCACTGAAGTCATTGCTGAGACCAAGATTGCCTAGCACTCCCAAGTCTCAGCTACTATTGCCAGGTCAGCCAGTTTGATTTTATGCATTAATCTGTCCTGTTAAGGTTGGCAACCCCCCAATTGTGTTTGGGGATCTGGCTTAGGACCTCATTTGGGGAGGAGGTATCGATTCTCATGACTCCTGGTAGATTCCGCACTCAACACCCATCTGAGTTGGTTAATGGGTGCCTTAGCTTAGAAAGGTGATCATTTATTCATTCATCATCATAATGTATCCTATTATTTATATTAAGGGGTTATTATGTTCTAGATGCTAAGGACACAACATTAACAGGCAAAACTCCTTACCATCTTGGAACTAACATTCTAGGCGGGGAGTTGCCCAAA